AATACGATTTTGGTAATCATTTCATCGATACGTACAATTCAATCATGAATTTTTTAGCACGCATTTCGTCTAATTCTGCGTCCAACTGTTCTGCACTCAATTTATTGTTACTACGCCGGTTCCTATTTCCAGCATTGCCATTACGATTGTCTAAACAGAAAAATCGTTAGAAGTGACACGGTAGACTCGCTTCAAAATCAGGTAGGAAAAATTGAACTCACTAAAACGTCTGCGACCTCCACCACCGTTGCCGCCACCACCGCCCTCCATTGCACCGGCATTTCTATTTCTAAATGCCTAGTCGTCTGCTTTCGATTAGTCTCGGGGGCGCTGCAGAAGCAATAGCGATTTTTCATGGGCCGGCCTAAAAAAACATACGAATATCAAGAAACGGTCGATCACATTTTGCCAAAAGTATAATGAAAATCTCATGAGCACAGCAGAAGTAGATATTGGAGATAGTCGTTGCAGAGTACAGCTGCATTTGATACAAAAAAGGATTACTATTTAGATATAAAATTTTCTACCAATATTTCGTCAGCTATGTATTTTTCTTCAAAAAATTAATTTTTTGAAGACCGTTTCTAAAGCAAATAGCTCAGTTAATTCGGATACACTCTACAACAAAATAATGTTTTTCTCAACAATGCCTTCATTATACAGGGTGCTGCCGGATATCTGGCCACGTAGGAATTAATACGGGAATTTTGTTTTTACTTCACAAATGTTGCCAATATGAAATAAATTCAACAGAAAATTGATTGGTGCAATTTCAAGTCTATTGGAGTAATATTTGTCGAGTTACGAGCGAGTTAGTGCGAATAAATTCAATGATTTTTTTTTAGGCCAAGTTGGTAAAAACAAATTCGAGAATAGGCAAGTGGTTTCTTGTTGAAATTTAGAAAATAAAATTCATTTCATTTATCGACATTCGATTAAAACTTGCCCATTTGCTAAATTCGTTTTTACCAAATTAGCCTACAAAAACTACTCTGAAAGTATTAGCCCATTCTTCGATTAACCAAATTTTTCATAATCAATCAAAATTTTTCAACATTCTCCAGCAGCCATGAAATAAATCATCATCCAACTTTTTTCCTGCACTTCATGAAACCGCACCATCAAAAATTTATATTTGTTGTAAAACTTTGTGATAGATCTTGCAGCAAATCCTAATCAAAATTTTGATTTTTTTTTTCAACAATTAAAAACGCTTTCCTCGATAACTAAACAAAATATAAACTCGGGACTTATAAATTTGGATTCTCCGATATTTTTCACATTTTCCTGATGAATTCAATCTCGACAGGTCATTTAGTTTGTCTGTTATCAAGTTTAGAACCAAAACCCTAATTTACATACACTTCCCCTCAAATAAATAAATTAAGATGCCCCAAAATGACAAATGAGTATTTTTGGAATCAGGAGATCATAAAACAAAAACCTATGTACGTATTACCTACTGTTACAATCAGACCAAACAAATAGGGTTTTCAGAGGAAAATTTGTTAAAAACCCATACACATGTAACATAACGAGTTTCCCTGTTGAAATTTTTGAATAAGAAAAATTGGACTATCTCTTTTTAATGAAAGTCTTTTTGGAAGCAATGAGGGTTTGAAGGTCCGAAGATAATAAACGGAGATATGCCTAATAGGGATCTTACAGCACAGCCAATGTAATAGTAAGTATCAATTACCATCTAAAGGAACTCCACTGTACTGTACTGTTTAATAGCACGAATTGCATCAGTGCGATCTTCAAATAGGACACTTCCTTCTCATTAGAACGACCAGATTTATCGTAGTGAATTTCACAGGATATCAAAGGTCCAATGTCCAAGAACAACTCCTGCAAAAATAAGATCGCAAATTAATGAAGATATTCATCGAAGTTGATTTTGACTTGAACAGTACACTCACTTCCAGATCAGATTCTGTAACGCGAAATCTAGATTAGAAACTAAAACTTTGGTTCCAACTGCATCGTATTCGGTTCTTTTCGCAATGTAACCATCATCGTACAAATCGTGAGACCACTCACTTTCGATATCACCCTGAAAATAGGAAAAATTCTATTGAATTAATCAAGACATTACTCGATAAGGACGACCACAAAAATATGAATTCCAATACGAATATTCATTGTAAAGGATTTTCAAGACCTTATAAGAAAATAAATACTTGCAGGCGATATACGATCTTAATTCAATTAAAAAAGTACATGAATGAATTCATACTGGATTAAATCACATTTATTACAAAATACGTCAAACAGTGAAATTTCACAATCGAAATCGAATTACACTGTATTGTTAGGCGGAACGCAAGATTATAATTGAAATCCGAATAATTACGAACGCTGGAGGTACAATTAGCGAGTAATTTGAAACTTGCAGGTTTCTTGACCAAATGAAGACTTTAAGCTCTGTGATTGACAGAATGAAAAACCGACGGGCAGTTGAATGAATTAATTGACCAGGCAACTTAAGATGGGCACGAATGAGGCTGATATTCATGAACAACTTTTGCAACTATTATGGTCGTAATGATTCGAATGAACACAGGTGGCGAAATTGAGTTAATTCAAAATGTTCACTCAACGTATGAGAAACAGCAATCAGTAGATGAGGACTTACATCTCAACGCAGGCAAGGCTGAGAATCAAGATGTTGAAAAGCTACTTCAGTATCTGAAGAATCATTTGCTCATACGCGCAGTTTCTATTGTCTTCTCAACAGCACTGTCACTTAACGATCGGGTTAAATTGAAATTGTCACTCCACAACATTAAAGAAACATAACAGGAGCCGAGATGAAGGTTCTCTTTCAAGTAACATGATAGAACGATTGACATGGCTTTTCTTTGAAGACACAGAATTGATAAGCGGTAGAACGTCCTACGTTGGGCTTTGAAATACTAACTCGTTTGTACGGCGTGAATCTGGCAGCTGAGCGAGAGCGATTACCAGAGGCAGAATTACTACGGAATCGTGGCCCACCAGAAAACTTTGCCACCACCGCCACCGGCTCGAGGGTTATTACGGCGACCTGGCTGCTGATTACTCGACCTCTGACCGGGTTTTTTTCTGGCATTGAAACTTTTACTTGACTTATTCTTCTTGATGATGTCGTCCAAACTCATATTTATATCGGTAGTCATGATGTTGATCTTGATGGACTCGTAAGCAAAGGAATAGATCGGTCGAACCTGTGAAACAAACACAGATTAACTCTTGAATACTGACGAGTACGTACTGTTGTTGAGCAGAATTTCACGAACGAAGAGTCGACCGTTGAATTTAAAATAAAGATGAAGGCGAAATTACCGAAATGGAGAGCGAAGAAAATCAATTCGATGACTGATGAAGTAAGAATAAAGCACGAAATTCAATTTGCTGATTCAAAAATTTGATTCGAATCGAAGAAGTCGATAGCAAGCAGTCCCTTCAAACGAACGTAGAGATGAGATTTGAAATTGAAAAATGAATTATGATTTATGAAAATAAAAGTGAAGACTGGTGAAAAACTGAAATGATATAATAAAAAATAAAAATGCCATTCAACGAAAACACACTTCTGTCGTTCTGTCGCACTCGCACTTTGCGTTCGCAGCCTTTTCTGTTTTCTGTCCTTTCCTTTCTTGCTGACTGGACAAGACAATCGATAGAAGGGGAAAGGGAAGGTGAGCCAGAAAAGAGTGATGACAGCTAGCCAGTGTTACAAGTACTAATCTTGAAAAGTTTTTGCTCGTGAAAACTTAAAACTTGATGAATAAGGTGATGAAAGGAAAGAAAGAAGGAAAGCCGAAACCGTAAGCTGATTGTGAGCTCAGCTGTATAGCTACTAGCTAGGCTAGGGGTTTGAGTGAAGACTGAAGAATTCGACAAAACTGAGCCAAACAATACTAGTGCTAAAACTCTTTACCAACTGCTATACGGAAACTCGAGATCCAGAATTACTTGATGAAAAATGAAAATAAAATAATATTAAATTTTTGATTTCCAACGTTCTTCGTTTTCAGTAATAGTAAAAATGGGGAAGAATAAGAAGAGGAATAATAATTTCAATCCACAAAACAAGCGCCTGTGACAAAGAAGGAAACATTCTTGAAATGAAAATGAGGTTATTGAAAAGAATGCGTGAAGTGCAAACTTATTGAAGTCTCAAGAAAACACGAATCCCAATTTCCAACGAATAAATGAAATTCATTTGATTTTTGAATAATTTTTCTCTTCTCTTTCTCGAGAAAGAAATACAAGAACAGAACAAACGCTGCTAATAAGGAAAAGCATGGAGATGATAAACATTCCACAAAATCAATATTGAAATGGCAATAAAGGAAAAAAATTAAATAGATGGGAAAAAAAATTTATTATACAAGTACATGGTAAACTCAGCATTTCATTCTGAAAACTGTAGGTACTCCAATATTTACATTTCATTTCCTGAAAAATAAAATCGTAATGCTATTTCAACTAGCGAATAAAATGGGATTTATGGCATTTAGAATGAAGTTAAAATTAAAACGCCAAATACTATATATCAAGATTAATGGACATGATACAGAAAGACTATCAGAAAACGATGATGAAATTGTGTAAGGAAATAATCAAAAAAAAGATTTGAGAACATAATCGAGAAAAAACTTAACAAAGTAGAACGAACAATGTACACAATTTATCGAATAATACAATGCATACTAATTATGACAAAAATATGCATAGGTACTTATTCACTGCGCAAGATATTGACTAAAATGGAATGGACAGTCATTTATAAAAATAATTTTTTTCTTCGACTGGCTCCAGCAGTCCTGCGTAGCTTCTACTTGGCATCACCCATTTTAATTTTGGAAGTCATATAAATGCCTACGATTAGACCGAACAATCCAATAGCACTACCGAAAATTTCGATTATGAGGACCTTGACGAAAAGTGAAGAATTCGCAGCATCTGCTAAGGCAGCTCCAGAGCCAACAACGCCTACAGCCATACCGCAAAAATAAATTCACTAATCCAACGCTCAGACCTGAGCCAAACATAAATAACCGGACATGTAGTTTAAGGCAGTAGTTTTATCCTTGGTGGGATCCCTGTCGGG